GTAGGGCTCAAATGGACTGTTTTTTGACTTTTATACTTATTGCAACGAGAAGTTCATCGCAATGGAAACCTTTTGAAATCTTGATTCAAAAGTTCTATAACATTCTGATAGTTTCTCTCATGGGGCGAATCCAATAATATCAAGAGAAGGAACGAGCTTCTTTCAATCTTAACTCACTCATCTCAAGGGTATTATGTAACTTTTTAAAAATCAGAAAAGTTATGTTCGCTGAGAGTTTATTGACTGCCAATTCTCCCAAGTTTCATCGTTGAAATGAAACACCCAGCGGTCTTATACACTCGTATGTAGTACTCTCAGGGGCCGCTTAGAACTTCGAAGTGAAAAGTGTCAGTATTTCTTCAGGTGTCCCCTGGTCGTTCGAGAGTGTGTGGGCTATCGCAGGCGCCTGAGTGAAACAGAAAAAAAAGGTTTTCAGTCTAGAACGGCCTCCCATGATGCCCTTTTAATCTGTGTTGAAGTAATTAAATTCTTTCCGCTTTTTTTTAGATTGCCGATCACGTTTGTTATGGTCACGGTGGGTTGAAGTTGAAATATATTATAAAACAAAATGTAAAACGATTCACCTTTTGTGAACAGATGGAAATATAGACAGACAATCACATCAATCATTTGATAAATCAAGCGATAAATAGTCAAGTAGAAGAGAACACAGATATCGAATTTTAAATCTACGGCAGCATATTTAGGCATGGAAATAAATCACGCACACACATACACACACACACACACACACACACACACACACACACACACACACACACACACACACACTCTTTCTCTCTCTCTCTCTTTCTTTCTCTCTCTTTCTCGCTTTCTCTCTCTCTCTCTCTCTCTCTCTCTCTCTCTCTCTCTCTCTCTCTCTCTCTCTCTCTCATTCGTACACACATACACAATCACAAACAAATATATATGCACAGAAAAATGGCCCGTCGTGCCTAGTTTTCTCTTGCAGATTTTTATATATCTTGGATAAAACTGTACTGGACATTTCCTTACGGATGACACATATAATGTTTTTCAGGCTTGGGAGGACTGTCGCCTGATGTGGAACAGCTCGGACTATGGAGAGGCCACCCGGATCACAGTACCCAGGAATGTTGTGTGGACGCCGGACCTGACCCTTTACGACAAGTAAGTCCTGTGGGGAGAGGGGGGGGGGGGGGGGGCGGGAGGAATGAAGATAAAATGAGCTGTGTTGGTATCATGCACAGAGTTTATAAACCTGGTTCGAATCCCCAACAGGCATTCTAAACCTGAGATATTTTGGTAAGTTTTTAAAGTTCTTCATTTATTTAACCCAGTCCTATACGAGCGCAGGAGTTGGATGGCGAAATTGGAGGTCTTGCTTCTTAAATTATAGCCTTACAGTGTTGAAAGTTGCTTTAAACGTTTACCGAGACAGTGAGTATCAAAACTGTTTGCCTGGAAAAGTGTTTTAAAATCATGCGTGTTATGTGTAGGCATATATACAGGAATATACACACTACACATGTTTGTGCGTGTGAGTGTGTGTGTTTGTATGTGTGTATGTTTGTGTGTGTGTGAGTGTGTGTGTGTGTGTGTGTGTGTGTGTGTGTGTGTTTGTGTGTGTATATGTGTGTGTGTTTGTTTGTGTGTGTGTGTTTGTGCGTTTGCGTGTATGTTGAACGTCATGCTTATGCTTTAACAGATAAGACGTTTTCGGAAATGTTACGTTTAGTGTTGAAGACAAAGCTAAATACATCATAAATGTAAACAATTGTTGACTACAAAAACACACACACACACATATATCTCTACATACCTATCTATCTATCTATCTATCTATCTATCTATCTATCTATCTATATATCTATCATATATATATAGGGGCCCCATATACCTAGATATCTATATCGTATAGACATATATACATATCCCTACACATGCTCATCACTGAGTTCTTGATATAAGCATTTTATGTGAATGTACCACACTTCACACGAGTGGGAAATGGTTCGTAGGATTCCTGGCTATAGACAGCGAAATATTTTCTCAGTTTGCTTGCGTTTGAGCCCGAGTAATCCGCAGCTTGCCCTGTATGCATCCCTGGAAGCCAAGAATGCTTCTGAGTGCTCCAGGATCTGCTGGGGTTATCACAGTTGAAAAGCTCATGGAGCATGCTGTAGGGTGTGGGTATGCTCTATATAAATGCAATTATAACACAGATTAGTAGTAGTAGTAGTAGTAGCAGTAGTAGTAGTAGTCAGTAGTAGTAGTAGTAGTAGTAGTAGTAGTAGTAGAAGTAGATGTAGAAGTAGAAGTAGAAGTAGATATATATATATATATAGTAGTATGTATATGTAGCAGTAGTAGTAGTAGTAGTAGTGGTGGAGATGGTTGGCGGTGGTAGTAGGTGGTTGGTGGTAGCCAGTGTAGTAGTAGTAGTAGTAGTTGTAGTAGTAGTAGTAGTAGTAGTAGTAGTAGTAGTAGTAGTA